TGAGATCATGACTTGACCTGAGATCAGACACTCCACTGACTGAGCCACCCAGGTGCCCTTCCATATACATTTTAGAATACCCTTGTCCATATCTACAAAAAAAACCTATCTAGGATTTTGGTAGGAACCGCAGTAAACCCATGTGAGTTTGGGGAGAATTGACATCTTTATGAAGCAGTCTCTGATGCACGGACAGTGTGACCCTTGTTTACTTTAGGTTTTCTTTGATTTCTTTCATCTGCATTTTACAGTTTTCTGCAGACAAGTCTTATACGTGTATTGTCAGATTCATGTCCAGGTATTTTTTAAGCAATTGTGAATGGTACTTTTTTTTTCAGTGACCACATGTTCACTGATTGTATAGAAATGGATTGGTTTTTGCATGTTGATCTTACACTCCGAGACCTCGCTGAATCCACCAATTAGATTTGTGTCAGTTCCTTGCGGTTTTCTGCATAGACCACTGTGTCGTCTGCACAGGGGTAGTTTTATTTCTTCCTGTCTAATCTTACCTATTATTTCCTTTCCTCGCCTCCTGGTCCCAGGTCGGACAAGCGCCTGGAGAGTAGATGTCCCTCCTTGCTCCTGACCCTGGATAATAGCATTCTTCTCTCACTATTGGGTGAAATGCTCACTGTATTTTTTATAGATGCTTTTTACCAAGTGGAAGAGGTTGCCTCTATTTTTCTGAAAGTATTGCTCATGACTGGGTGTTGAATTTCATCAAGGGCTTTTTCTTCTTCAGCCTATCAATAGATGAGTTACTAATACTGTGACTGATTTTTAAATATTGAATCAGCCTTGAATTCTGGAAATAAATTCCACTTGGCTGTGGTGTATGATTCTTTTTATACATTGTTGAATGCAACTTGCTAACATTTCCTTGAAGATTTTTATGTCTACGTTCAAAAGGGACGTCATCCTGTGGTTTCTTGTGGGTCTCATTCCGTTCTTATCTGGCTTGGTCTCATGGTGACGTTCACTTCAGGACACGAGCCGGGAAGGGTTCCTTTCTCTCTTATTTTCTGGAAGACATTGTACACAATTGATATCAATTCCCCTCTAAGTGTTTGTGAAATTCTTGAATGAAAACTATCTGGGGGCCTGAAAGTTTGGGGGGTGAGTTTTTCAATGATGAGTTTAATTTCATTAGCAGCTGTGACTATTGTACTGGGAGAGCCTGTGATTTGGAGGACATGGTCCATGTGGGGAAGTGCCAAGTTTCTGGATGTAAAGTGGCTCATAGCACCCCCTCCCCATCACCCTTCCCATGTCGTTAGGGTCTGCGGCAATATCGCTGTTTTGTTTATGATGCTGGAGTTTGCATCTTCCTTTTGTCCATTTTATCCACGTTGGCAGAGAACGTGATCTTTGTTTTGTTTTTCTCTATTTTTTTTGTGTTTTCAGTTTAATCAATTTCTGCTCTTACCTTTGTTATTTCCTTCCTGCTCTGGGTGTATTTTGCTTTTTTCTAGGTTCTTGAGGCAGGAGCTTAGATTATGGCATTGAGATTTTCTCTTTCCTGAAGTATGAACTTAGTGCTTGATACTCGGCTGTCTCGGCACCATGTTAGCTGTGGCCAAGAGTTTGACGTATTTTATTTTCCTTAAGTTCAGAGCATTTTCTTTTGTTCTTTTTTTAAAATTTTTTAATGCTCATATATTTTTGAGACAGAGACAGACAGAGCATGACTGGGAGAGGGAGACACGGAATCCGAAGCAGCCTGGCTCCAGGCTCCGAGCTGTCAGCACAGAGCCCGACTCAGGGCTCGAACTCATGACCTGAGCCCAAGTCAGACACTTAACTGACTGAGCCACCCAGCTGCCCCCGGAATATTTTCAAAATTTCCTTTGAGACTTTGACTCATGGCTTATTCAGAAATGTTCTGATTGGTTTCCAAGTGTTGGAGAATTTCCTGTTGTCACTGTTGCTGATTTTCTAGTGGGATTCCGTTGTGGTCAGAGAGCACATTTCATATGATTTCAGTTATTTAAATTTCTTGGCTTGATTTTAGGGCCCGGGATGGGTCCTGTCCTGGTATATGTTCCGTGGGCACTGGAAAAGAACTCTGTTCTGCCGCTGTTGGGTGGAACCTTCCGAAAATGCTGATTAGATCCTGCGGGATGATGGTGGTGTTGAATCCTTGTGTCTTTGCTGAGTTTTTATTTAGTGTTCCTAACAGCCATTGAGAGAAGGGTATTCAAGTCTCCAACTACATTCTAGTTGATTCTAGTGATTTGTCTGTTTCCACTGGTTTTTGCTTCGTGTATTTTGTAGCTCAGATGTTTGGTCATACACGCTTCGAGTTACCGTGTCTTCTTGCGGTTATTCTTCTCTGTCTGTGGTGGTTTTATTTTATTCCGAAGCACACTGTATCTTATATTAATTATAGCCGCTATTTTGCAAATATTTTCTTTTAATCTGTGACTTGTTTTCTCCTTCTTTTGATCAGGAATTGTTTTCTTTTCTTGAGTTTTAGAAATTTGACTATGACGTGTCTCTATGAATTTCTATGAGTTTACCCTTTTTTGGGGTTCATTCAACATCTGGAATATGTAAGGCTAGTTCTTTCGCCAAGTGTGTAAAATGTCCAGCCCTGTCTGCTTAGTCCTCTTCCTGCCGCAAAAGCTGGGTCTTTTGTCTCACGTGTTCAGGAAGCTTTTTTTTTTTCTCAGCAAATTTTCTGTTTCTCAGTTTGGATAATTTTTACTGTTCAGTCTTACACCTCACCGAAGCTCTCTGTCCCCTCCACTCTGCCCTTGAGCCCGTCCACAGAGCTGTGTTTCTGTTTTTATGTTTTCCAGTTATGAACTTTCCATTTGGTGACTCTTTATCTTTTACTGCTTTGCGGAGACTTTCTATTTGCCAAGAGTTGTTTTTCCCCCCGTTTATTTCAAGTGTGTTCCTAATTACTTGTGGAAGCAAGTTTATTGTGTCTGCTTGAGAATCTTTAGCTCTCTTTCCCATTTATCATCTTCATGTTGTCTTTTTCATTTGGCTTGAGATATTCTTGGTTCTTGGTGTGACAAGTGACTTTTAGTTGAAGGCTGGTCATTTTGAATTTCATAAGACTGGATTTTATGTAAACCTTCTGTTTTTCTGGCTTCCTCTCTCACTGCTTCCGAAGGAGGGAGGTTGAGGCCTCGTTCCTGCAGGGTGGGGATGGGAGTCCAGGCTCCACTGCCACTGAGGTGTATGTGGGGGGTTCCTCATCGCTGCTGGGTGGGGGTGAGAGTGCTCACTCCCTTGAGGCCACACGAGTACTCCCTGACTCCTGGGTGGTGACAGCATTTCTCGCTATCCACTAGGCTTTGTCTTTCACCACCTGGGAGGAAGAGGAAGGGGCACTCTGTTACTGCATGGTGGTGGTGGTGGTGGTGGTGGTAGTTGTGGTGATGGTTGTGGTGGTCACGATAGCGGTCATGGTGGTGGTCATGGTAGGGGTGGGGGTGAAGGTGGTGATGGTGGGGGTGGTGGCCACGGTGGGGGTGGTGCACTGGGCTCTGGCACTATGCCAAACAGCTTACATTGACTCTTTAATCATGCCTCACAAGTACGAATTATAACTCTGTTTTACGGATAAGCAAAGCCGGGCTCAGGAAGATAACTTCCTCAAAGTCGCTCATTAGCTGGATCAAGGGGAGGTGCTGGTTTCAAGGGAGGTCTGGAACACCTTACACACTATGCCAGCACGCTGGCAATGCACGTGGCATTGGGCTGGAACGGTGGATTAATTCGGGGAGAGGACAAAGTTGGAAACAGGGGCAAGATGTAGGAGCCCTTCTATGTTTCAGCAAAGGGGTGAGGACCCAAGTAGCCCTTGTTGAGGGAACCCAGGACAGGTGAGGACATGAGCTAGGGAGGAGAGTCTAGTTCCTATGACCTAAGTAGGAACGTGTGACTCTCACGCTGCCCTCCCAACAAAATCCCTTCCCAGGGGACTGTTCAGGTAGTTTCCACAGCACTAGTAAGGCAGTCGGGGCTATTGTCTTTCTTTTCTAACAACAAATGTTACACTAGGTGTTTTTAAAGAAAACCTTTAGGATTTTTTGATAGAAAGTTTGAGATGTGATGGGTTAAATTCTACTCAGTTTGTGGCTCCTTAATTTAAAAATGTCATGTTCCCAAATCATGCTGAGTCATTCATTCAGGGCTGGTCATTCACCATGTGCATAGACAGATGACATTGCCTACCCCCTTCAGGAGAGACAGGGGAGAAAAAGAGGGGAAAAGAAAGATTCCAATCAAATTATGTTCCGAAAGACTGGATAGGACTGGCCAAAGAGGGGAGTGTACAAAGAAGGAGACCAGCAGGTTCTCGGATAGCATAGCAGTGATCCTGAAGGACTTAAAAACAAATCCTATCAACACAGAGGGAAAGCCAGAGTTCCCAATTGGGGGGTGGGGTGGGGGTGGGAGTAGGGTTGCAGAGAGCCATTTGCTAGAAACACACCACAGAAGACCCATTCCATGGAGTGATCTAAGGAAATAAGGGTCTCATGGTTCATGTGAAAGACTAGGTTAGAGAATTAAATTTCTTTGCTGCAGGCCTTGCCAGAGCCTTTACACCTTTTAGGTGCATTATGAACACCCAAGAGGGGATGTCTTATGCAGGGTTCCAGAATCCGCTGTTTACAGAAATCTCCCCACTCACCCATTACACAGCCTTTTTTTCTCTCTTTGAGATTTCTTGTGACCTCACACTTCACCTTACATGGATTATTTCACCGTCCCTCCAAAAATCCCTTTGCAGTACGGGTTATAAATTGCAAGTTCTGGGACAGGGAGAAACTTACAACCCAGAGCTGAATCTCCTACTGTGGAGTTTTCTCTACTTTCTCAAAAACGTGCCTGATGTACGCTTCAAAGACTCTGACTTGAGCACTCAATGACTATTTTCTTTTTAAATCAAAATTGACAAAGGCAAGCAATTTTCTGAACCACCCGCACTTCCACCCCAACCCTCTCAACTATCCCCAGGGAATCAGAGAACTCTTTCATGAGAGGACACTGCAGTATTTTATATACTTTCTCAAATCAACGCTCAGTTATAACCGGATTACCAGGCACCGCTAGGCCTGCGTCCGCAGGCCCCCGCACCCGCCCTCCGCAGCCCTGCGGCCCCGCCCTGGGCTGCGACTCCTCCCGCGCCCTCAGGTCCAGGAAGCTGCCGGCCAGCGCGCGCGCCTGGTCCCTCTGGGAGGCCCTGGAGAGCTTCTGGAATTCCTGGAACGCATTGTCCCGCTCCCGGGAGATCTGCTCCACCCTCTGCTCCTTCCTCCGGATGGCCTCCTTGATGCCCTCGACGTGGCACTTCTCCTCCCTCTCGGCTTTCAGCTTCAGGACGCGCTGGTTCTTCTCCCGCAGGACGCTGAGCTCGCGCGCGCGCTGCGCCCTGTCCCCGCCGCTCCCGGCCCGCCGCGCCCTGCGCTCGGCCAGCTCCGCCAGCAGCCGCCGGTGCGCGCGCGCCCGCTCCTCGGCCTCCGCGCGCCGCCGCACCTGCTGCGGCGGCTCCTCCTGCGGCCGCGGCTCCCGCGCGCTCTCCTTCGCCAGGCCCCGCTGCGCCTCTCGGCTCCGCTGGGAGCTCTGCTCCAGGGACAGCTTCCTCAGCAGCTCCTCGGCCTTGGCCTGGCAGTCCAGGAGGACCTTCCGGGCCTGGTAGTTGACCAGGGAGCTGAGGTTGGTCTCCTGCGCCTTTTTCTGGGTTTCCAGGGTGTTCAGGCTCTTCCGGGGAGCGGCCCGCTCCCGCCTCTCCAGCGGCTGCGCCGTCCTCTCGGGCTCCTGCAAGCGCAGCTCGCCGCTCTGCCTGCGGGTCGCCGGCGCGGGCGCGGGCGCGGGGGCGGGGGCGGGGGCGGGGGCGGGCTGGGCCTCCGCGCGGGCCCCCTTCCGTTCCTCCTCCGGCCGCGCCCCGCACTCGCGCTCCGACCTGGAGACGGTCCCCGCGGGGCCGTCGCGCCGTCGGACGCGCCGCTCTTGCCGCCACTGCTCCTGGCTCTCCTGCAGAAGCAGCTTGCGCTCCCGCTCCAGGGTCATCTGCACCTTCTGGTCCGAGCGCTTCAGCTCCTCCCAGGCCGCAGCCGCCTGCTGCTGCAGCTCCCGCATCCTCTGCGCCTTCTTGAGCCGGGTCAGCACCAGGGCCACGATCTTCTGGTCCCTGGAGGACATGATCGCCTCCTCCAGCTTGTTCTTGAGGAGCTGGGTGTGCAGGCTCTGCAGCGCCTTGTTGGGCACTGAGGGCTGGCAGGGCTGGCTGGCTAAAGATTCCACGGGGTCACTGCCTTCCCGCTTGTGGGCGCTCACGCAGGCCGACTGCGCCCTGAACTCATGGGACCGCACGGAAGACTTCTCGGACACAGCCGAGGATAGGGACCAGTGAGCCGGCCCTCCGCACAACGGCACTGCCCACTGGTCTCCGCTCTGCGCCCTCTCCACCCCGAAGGTCCCGTTCAGGGGGCTGTACGCTCCCTCGGGGTGAGGTGGAGGCGAGTCTACTTGGGTCGGAGGGCAGTGCCGAGGCCCTCGGAACTGTAGGCCGGGCTGCCATCGCCAGGCCGGGCTGTGCGCGCTGCCCCCGGGCTGGGGCTTGGGCCCGGGCTCGCCCCAGACGTCCTCCAGGCGCCGTCCGCGGGGCCGGGGCCTCCTGGCGCGATCCGGGGGTCTCGCCGCCACGTCGGTCAGGCTGTGGCTCTCTCGAGGCGAGTCTGGGCACCTGCGCCGGCGAGGCCGCGCGGTGTTTGCGCAGCATGGGTGCGGCCAGGGCGCCCCGGCCTCGCCGCCCGACCCCGGGGCGGCGCCCCCAGAGCCCAGGCAAAAGTTGGTTTCGGTCCCGGGGCCGCGCCGCCGCGCCGCCGCCGCGCACTCCCCGCCCGGGTCCAGGAGGAAGCTCGGGGAGACGCGGCCCAAGCCCTCCATGCTCACGACCAGAGTGTGGCCAGAGGGTCCTGGCTCCGCGGCGCTGCGGGGGCTCTTCCGCGCGCCCTCAGATCCCCCCGGCTCCGTGCCTGTGACGCTCCGGCCACTTCACAATGCGCTCTGGCCCGGCCTTCGGACAGCCCCTCAGCCAGGGGGAGCAGGCCACAGATCAGGGGCCCCCAAAGCTGAGGGTTCAAGGGGAACCCCAGTGTCTCAGGCGGGGACTGGAGTCGTATTTGTACACCTTCAAGTGGCCGGATTTTAACGGAACCTGGGGGAGGGCGTTACCCCCGGCGTGGAACGCAAGGGATGGGTGAGGTGTGGGGCGGGAGGGTGTTCCTGTGTGCGTTCACACCCCTCCACGCGCTTTGCAGGTTTAAGTTAGCAAGCTCCGGTATGTTTTGTTTAGCAATTACTGCTAGTATAGCAATTACTGCTTTCATCAAAATATGAATGCTGTGTGCACACTTCTGAAACAGCATCAGATTATTTTTCCTTGTTGGAGCACCCCGGGCTGCTGGGATAAACATTGGATCTGGTCCCGAAGTCGAGTCTGAATCTCCTCTGCCACTTTCCACTCGCTTGGCCTCCCTCTTTCTGGAAAGGTGGAGCAGAGGAAGGGCCTGATATCAGGCAGCCAAGCCATCCTGAGGGTCAAGGGCTTAGCTCATCCAGGCATTTAATAAATGTTAGCCTGATGTGCTGCTAGGCCTCAGTTAGAAGTTGTGAGTTTGCAGAAGCTTCCGGAGATCCCTAGCTTGAGAAGAGAGTGGAATTAGCGGCACTGCGAAGCAGGCCCTGTCCTGTTGATGCGGGGCCTCTGGCTTCGTCCCCTCCTTTCTCCGGGACGGTCCTGGGCAGTATTCTCGAATATGGTCTCTCCTTAAAGAAGAGAAAGGAGGAGGACTCCCCCCAACCCCCACGGGGGCCGCTGCCCCCACACCTCGGGTCGTCCCGGCAGCCCAGCCAGGCAGGGCCAGGAACGCTAACACTCCCTGAAGACAAGTCTGTGGCTTGGCCCCACTCACTGTTTCCCCACGTCACTTGGTCAGTGGCAGGGTGTTCAGATCTGGAGGTGGGCCTTGGCAGGTGTTTAGGGGTAGAGGAGGTCACGAGGGTGGGCTCCATGGTGGCATCAGTGTCCTCGTAGGCAGAAGAGATGGCAGAGTGTCCTCTCTGCCCTGTGAGGACACAGCAGAAGGCGGCCGTCTGTAAGATGGGAACTGAATTGGCTGGCACTTTGATCTTGGCTTCCTGGCCTCCTCGCCTGTGACTAGAATGTTCCGTAGGCTCCCCAGCCCACGGTGCTAGCAGCCTGAACTGCCAAAGATGAAATGCTTTCAAGAAAATGAGGACTGTGTGTCCACCAGTGGGTCCTGGTGGCCGTGTCCTTACAGCCAGCTGGTGGCAGCCTTGACCAGAGTGACTGAGCCCTCCCTGGGCCTGCCCTGCCTGGGTCACGTGCTGTCATTTTAGCACATCTGCAGCTGAGAATAGGATTTCTGTTTTTGCTACTGATACCATTGTTAGAGATTATCTCGTGACTGTAATTTTTACTAAGAGGTGACTTCTTAAAAAATGAAGTTAGATTTGAAATGGAACAATTTAAGTTAGGAAATATTTAGGCATGGACTGAGAGGTGCCGATACCTGAGTGTCCCACGTCTCTGTTAACATCTTTGTCATCCATCTTGCTGGCCAGTGCCAGCATCCCAGGGCCATCCCTGGGCCCTGACAGCCATCCCAGGGCCAGGAGACCTGCTGCCGGCCAGCGCCAGTCCCCTCGAGTGGTCAGTTCACCTCAAGTTTTTGGTTTCTTCAGCCCCGCAGGGGACGATCTGTGGATTTTTTTCAGCCCCAAATGTAATGGGAAAGAGGGAGTCCAAGCTGGGAAGGACTGTAGCCTTCATTCTGTAAAGCCAGAGTGAGTTAATCCACAGAAAGTGCTTACCAGGGTGCGTGGCATGTGCTTGTAAATATCGGCCACCAGAGTCATCGTGATCATTAGGCCAAGAGTGGTCAAGGTGGAGCAGCGCGGGGCTGATTCAAAGACCAGGCTTGGAGCAGCGCCAAGCCAAGTACCCAGGGACTCAGGTTCCTGCTTCAGGCTCTTGCTTCCCCGAGGGCTCTCCGAATTCCTCCTGGAGTTGAGAATAGTTCACTCCCTCCGCCAATGATTGAATAAGGGACATCGTCTCCGCCTCAGCGTGGCACAAATATCCTCTGAAAAGCTAGGCCAGGACTGGGAGGCTTACTTGGGGCCCTTGCCCACAGCACTGCCAGGAGACACCCAGGTCACAGATGGGCAAGTGCAGGGTGACAGTGGCACTCCCCACCGGTGGGATCCCCGCAGACAGGGATGGGTGGGAGCTCACACCGGGCAGAAGCCGCGGGGCCGGGGGGCATGTGCGTGTTGTATGGTGAGGGGCCCTGACCAGTGGGACCCCCAGCAGTGTGGGCTGGGCCCCAGTTCCAGAAGCCTCCCACAAGGCCCAGGGATTCCCTGCAGCTGCCCTGAGCCCCGGCGGGGGTGGGGCTGGAGGGCTTTAGGCAGCTCTGAGATCCCTAACCTTCTGTCCCCAGAGCAGCTCATGCTTTACCTCATTTATATCCTGAGGCTCTTGGTGACACCTCGCTGAAGAGAATTTGGGTTTGCTTATAAAAAAGGGTTGAAATCCACTGTGTAGACAATAGTGAGGAGTCCATTCACATCTTGGAACTGAAAAAAGTGGTCCAGTTGGGTCTGTATTTTGAAGCTCACCCTGGCAGCAGCATGGAGGGTAAACTGGGAGCAGGGGAGGGCACTGGAGATGGGCCAGTGGGAAGCTGGCTCAGGAATCCAGGTGGGCAACGGGTAAACCCGGAGGGGGGCCAGGGGACCAGAAGGGTGGGTCAGAGGTCCAGGGACCAGGGCCCGTAGAGGCCTGGGAGGGTGTTCTCTGTGGACGTGACCTTGGGAGCAGAGACCGTGGAAATGAGCCACAGGACTTGTGATCGTGCAACATGGAACAGCAAGCAGAGTGCCTGGAAGAGACCACGCAGAACCGGGCAGAAAAGCCTTTCCTCTGCGGGCTGACCTGCGGGCTCCAGACAGGGGATCGTAGAGGGCAGAGGGCGGGTGTCCTGCAGAGCCAGGAAGGAGATGTTTGGGGAATGCTGAGCTGCCAGGCATTCATTCCCTTGATAAACTGCGAACAGTCAGCCTCCTTTTATTTGGCAGAAAAATCCTCAATGCATTTCTCCGGAGGCCCCAGAATTTGGGCCTTTTGGCAAATACAGACCTGGGCCTTTTGTTTTCATTTGTCAGAATCCTGGAAAATATGGCAAACTTGATTTGACTCCGTCATTCAGGTCAGTCCATGAACTGTGGGTGTGCTCTGTGCCCTTGGCGGAAGGTTCTGGCGACTCCGAGCTCCGGCTCACGGAAGCTGCTTGTTCCCGGAGCTGGTCTGTGGGTGGTTGCGGCTGTCTCGACTTCTGAGTGTAGAACATTCACCAGTTGCAAAAACTTCCTGTGCGAGAATGTAAAGTATCTCAACACTTGTATGTCAGTTACTTGTGAAGGTATTTTGAACACCGTGGACTGAAGAAAATATCAAAATTCATTTCACATGTTGCTTGTTTTCATTTCCTAGTAAATTTAAAATTACATCTATATGTAATGTCGATTGTGGCATATTTTTTAAAATTTTTTATTCATTTTTGATAGAGACAGACAGAGCACAAGAAGGGAGGGTCAGAGAGACAGGGAGACACAGAATCTGAAGCAGGCTCCAGGCTCTGAGCTGTCAGCACAGAGCTTGACACGGGGCTTGAACCCACGAACCGTGAGATCATGACCTGAGCCGAAGCTGGACACGTAACCAACTGAGCCCCCCAGGCGCCCTGATCGTGGCATATTTCTATTGGATTAGTTTGAAATCAGCTTTTCTAAAAAGGTGATATTTGGGTCGAAAGTTTTTTTCTCAATGGCTGGATGATAGGGTCAAGTATTAATTTCCAAAACCCAGCTGTGGAGTCCAATCTCACAGGAACCTGGTCCTTCATGCCCACCGCACCTTTCCCTCACCTCACCCTGGAAGACAGACACCCCAAAGTAACAGGGTCTGCAGACACTGCACGGGCCACTTGGGACATGCGCATGTGAGATACAAACGCACGAACGATGTCAGCCTCACACACAGTGCAGAAAGAAGCGAGTGTTGTGTGAACATCCAGGGCAGTAACGGAAAACTTACGCTACTGCAGTACCAGAAATGAAAATTGTAGCCTGTGAACTTTTTTCTTTAGAAAAAGAAAATAGTGGGCTAGGCGCCCGGAACTATGACAGTCAACGTTTCCACGGAAACCATCATGTACCCATGACGCACACATTCCGCATGTGAGCTGCCGCATGTAAGGGTGTCGCTCTGCATGATGTGTGTGCAGACCTTGCCCAGCAGCAGTGCGGGGTGTAGCCCGCCTCTCCCGTGGCACAGAGAGGGTGTCCCCGGCCCAGCTGCCAGCCCAGCCTTGCACGGTGGCACCGCAGAATCACAGCCGGAGAAAGTCGTGTGTGGACGAGGGGGCAGGGGAGAGTAATTAGCCAATTCTCATGAAGAAAGGAAGGGGGCACAGGAGCACTTTGAGAGGAGTCAGCGAGCTTGCCTCTGCGGGGGGTCAGCGGGACCCACCAACAGTGACAGACACACAAAACGCCACAAGTCAGTTATTTCTTTTTGAAATCCTATGACAAAGCATTTGTAATGCTAAACTGAGAAAGAGGCTTTTCTTGTAGCAGCCAGGGTGGGGGATGAGATTGCATGTCATACTGGTCATCCTCAACATAACCGACATTCTGTTGAATGTTTTCTGAAAAGAATGTGCTTTGTCAAAACTTAAAACAAAAGTGTGGGTTTTTTTTTTAAAGTCTGCCTTTCCCCCTGGTTTGTTAAAATGTAGCCTGGAGTTTTTAACTTCAAAGGAAATGTGCTTTTCAGAAGCTCTGTGGGAGGGGGGCTGCTGGGCAGCGGGGCCTGGGGACTGTGTGTGTCCTGTGACACGCCGTGCACGCCAGCACTTTGCTGTGTCATCAGCGGTAGGCACCCCCGGTCCCGGAACCGCCAGCCTCCGTGTCCAGCGCGCACCTCTCGTGATCTCTTATCGCCTCGTCAGGGCGCCAGCTCTGCTCCTTGCTGGTTTGGTCCACTGCAG